CGCTTAACTACATGTACAGCAGGGCTCCAGATAAGGGCCTTATCGGCGTATGTACGGATAAAAAATATGCACGATACGGTAGGAAATAATTTAGGAAAAGTAGAAGATACGCACCACGCCAATGGTGTATGGTCTTAGAATTATTTACAGACGTATTTTTCTGAAAAATCATTGTTTTTTTACCTTTTTACTTAAGCGTAGCAATGTTGTGGTGCATATATGAAACGAAACACCAAGATTGCTGATACTCCAAATTCCATTCAGTACTCTAGAGACCTATTAAAGTTTTCCAGTGCTCCTGTATTGAAAAAATAAGGAGTACTTACTCCTGATGTTGAAAAATTATCTGGAGTCCTGGTACAGCAATGTGGTCCTATGCACGGGCAGATCCAGATGGGGTGGGGAGGAGGGGGAGGTGGTTTGTTCGGTGCAACTCCCCACCCCCCCCAAAACCTTTTGACTTAATGATTTATGTGCACCCCTCTTACTCCAAAATCCTGGATCCGCCCCTGTTACGATAATACAAGAATCACAAGTGTACTGTAGTCACAATAACGATGTTCGAGAACTACATCTGACAGACCATGCACTTGACATGTGTCTAAATTACGGAATTAAGACGCAATAGTCCACTCACTGTTTGAAACAATTTCCAAAACCATTGAAAGGCACCCTTGCTATGGGTGCTTAAACGATGGAACGAACTGCATGGTAGATTTCAAAATGGAACAGTACAGCGCTTCCCTCACACCAGAAGTTCGTGTTAGTTTTGTGAAGATTTATGAGACGCTTCATCGAATATCTAAAACTGTGAAACGCTGCTCAGTGAGGCGAGTATTAAAGGAGAATCCGAACGAAAACAAAACTTTTGATATATTGTCAAGGATATTATAAAAGTCACCTTCCGTTATTAAAATTGGAGAAAATGTTTGTAAAATAGCAATAAAAACACAAAAAAGGTACTCGTATTTCCGCCTTTTACGGAAACACCCGACAGTTAGTGAGCAGAGGGGGTATCACGTGACATGACGTCACACGTGCCTGTTGCGGAAAGGTCACGTGGGTTCCAGCGAAATATGCATAATGGCCGAAGCTGAGATTTACAGAAACTGTTTTCGCGATTAAAACATAGTTATACAAACGTTTTAATTGAAAATTTGGGAATAAGTTTCTGATGACTTTATCTTTCACCAGCAAATTATTGCAATTCACTCGTATTCTCCTTTAATGGCGATACAGGATTCTGTCCTAGCCTCCACTTCCGAGGTCTTTACCTTGGCACCAAACCCCACAGTGGCGTATCCAAACTAATAATCGAATAATTGATTGATATCAGTGATTGTATTCTTTATACATTAACCTGTGACCATTTCGACAGTGATTAATTCCGCCAGTGATTACTGGACCCTGGTTGAACATGACTGTTACAACCATGTCTCGTGTCGTCAGTGATTTCTGGACAGGTCCCCCCGGCTCTTACCGACAACGATTACTTGACTCAGGTCCATTCTGAAAGAGGTTTCTGAGTCACGGTGCACATTGACTGCTGGCTCCTGGGTTGATTCTGAAAGGTATTAGTTGACGGAAACCGGGTTCAATCTCTCTGCTTACACGGCCCTTCTTTATTCTGACAATGCTTCGTCCTGACAGTGATGATCCTGCTTTACTCTGGCAGTGTTTTCTGGGCCCTGCTTCGTCCCCTGACAGTGATAACCGGATCCTGCCATATTCTGACAGTGTTTTCTGGGCCCTGCATCGTCCCCTGACAGTGATAACCGGATCCTGCCATATTCTGGCAGTGTTTTCTGGGCCCTGCTTCGTCCCCTGACAGTGATAACCGGATCCTGCCATATTCTGGCAGTGTTTTCTGGGCCCTGCTTCTTCCCCTGACAGTGATAACCGGATCCGGCCATATTCTGGCATTGTTTTCTGGGCCCTGCTTCGTCCCCTGACAGTGATAACCGGATCCTGCCATATTCTGGCAGTGTTTTCTGGGCCCTGCTTCTTCCCCTGACAGTGATAACCGGATCCGGCCATATTCTGGCATTGTTTTCTGGGCCCTGCTTCGTCCCCTGACAGTGATAACCGGATCCTGCCATATTCTGGCAGTGTTTTCTGGGCCCTGCTTCGTCCCCCGACAGTGATAACCGGATCCTGCCATATTCTTGAAGTGCTTTCTGGACCTTGCTTCGTCCCCTGACAGTGATAACCGGATCCTGCCATATTCTGGCAGTGTTTTCTGGGCCCTGCTTCGTCCCCTGACAGTGATAACCGGATCCTGCCATATTCTGGCAGTGCTTTCTGGGAGCTGGCATATTTGCGATAGTGATAACAGGAAGTCGGTATATTGTGACAGATTACTGGACCTGCTGTCGTGTTTAAATGACTTAGACTGGTTTGGTTAGGTTGTTGTTTAACGCCTCACTCAGCAATATTCCAGCTATATGGCGGCGGTCTGTAAATAATCGAGTCTGGACTAAACAATCCAGTGATCAACAGCATGAGAATCGATCTATGCATCTGGGATACGATGACATACATGTGTCAACCAAGTCAGCGAGCCTGACCACCCGATCCCGTTAGTCGCCTCTTACGACAAGCATGGGTTACTGAAGATACATTCTAACCCGGATCATCACGGGTCACATGACTTAGATGTTTCTCTGTGGCTGTACACAAACAATCCATTATGAATTATGTTTGATGTTTGTTTTAAAATATTCCAACCATATCACTGTGGTCTGTAACTAGTCATGCTTGGGCCGGATAACGCAGTGGTTGATTATCGTAAGCAACCTTCACATATTGTCGGGGACAAGGCCACCAAGCAGGATCACCCATACAGCTCATTAGATGGGATATATTGAGACAGAACCTGATTTAGTTAGAGTTTCAACCCAGGGCATCCAGACAACAATTATTTGGCCAAAACACAGAACCATTAGCCCATCATAAGGCTACTGGTAACTTCGTTATGTTTCTCATCATCCAGCAAGACAACGGGTAGGAATAGAATAAAACTAGAAACATGAAAATAAATGTTTTGCACTAATTGTATAAGTTAATTGGTGAAATATTAAAGTAAGAACCCTTTGAGATGGACTTTTAATTAATCAAATATATAGTTTAATATAATTATTAAGTTATTACTTTGTATTGTCGATGCATGTCAGTGTACATTTTATCTATGTGTTTATCTCTAGGACAAACGTCAGTGGACAGTCGGTATATACTTGACTTCAGATCCAGCACTCCTGGGAAGGACAAATGAACAAAAAGTATCAAGTTGAGTAATTACATGTATTTCACTTCTGAGTAGTATATCAATTATTAATGAGCATGAGCAATAATACAGATTCATATTCAGTAAATGATTTTCACAAACACATTTACCCTCACTGGAAAGTTAGTAAATCAATAGGAAAAATAATTACTGTGTATACATCGTGTTTAAATGGAAACTGTTTCTGAGTTTATATCTCACCTGACACCAAAAGTTACAGCACTGTCACCTGAGCTTGCTGTCATCGGTAAGATTAACCAATGGTTGTCAGTCTGTTGATATTTGTCTCGTACAATAAGATATAATTTTTCAGATTCATTTCCCTTTTCCTGATTACTTTGTCCATGACAGTTTCAAAACAGAAAGGCAAAATCTAACTACATGAACTTTTAATAGTTCAAAAAAAAAATAAAAAAATATTAAAATAAAATAATAAGGTTTGTGGTATGGCTTATATGAAAACATGCCATTTTGATACTGATTTTAATGGTCAAGTTAGGACCTCGGGGACTTATCTACGAGACCGGCTTATCTGCGGTAATATATGGCACTTATATGCTGTCAGAAGGTATCTTATCACATGTTACATGTAGGTTATTTTATTTTATTTTATTGAACTATCAATTTGTAAGGTGATAATTGACCAACACACTACATAAATCATCTTGAGACTACCAAACCCTCAGTACCTACATGCAATTTACAATTATTAAACATCCTACACTTTCCATAGAAATAGCATATATTTACAAAACTAAACGGTCTAAAATTATGTCAACAAATTTTTAAAACATTTTAAGCTACAAAACAAATATATACGGAAAAGTATCTGCCTAAACAGACTCTATTGGGTGTATATAGCAAATTAGGGTAGAAAATTATATGAATGGATCACTGAAAATTAGTAACGACACCAGGTGTCTCAGAAGTGTTGAGAGCCCTTCCGACAGCGCTCACACAATCTGCATATAACACGGATGGCAACAGGATAATCTATTCTCAGCTGAAAACTTAGTATTGTGTCAGAGAATGGTGTGTGTGTGTGTGTATGTGTGTGTGTTGTTTGTGTGTTTAAGGGTTTCTAAACAGATTTAGACAATTCAAAGAATTGATCAATGTGAAATAAAATTGGCGGGAATCCAGGGATCAGCGGAAAATTGCCATCCCTGATATAAGTACCGTAGATAAGCCGGTCTCATCGATAAGCCCCCAAGGTCCTAACTTGACCATTAAAATCAGTATCACAATGGTATGTTCCGTATATAAGCTGTTCCACCAACCTTCCTTCATCTTCTCATCGTGATCAGTCATCGAAACGTTTGCTACCTGATAATAGCACAATATACAGTCAAATCCTGATGAGTCGCATCTCTGGGGACCAAGTAATAAATTCGACTTATCGATGTATTCGAGACATAGGTATGTCTATGAGGGTAGAAAAAAAGATGATCCAGTCCTAATTCCTCCGCCTAAGCATTTGTTTATCTAATGATTTCCCTATCACTAATAGGGGCACCTTATCAGTTCCAGTCTGATTAGCACAGTGATTTCCGTAAAATCACTAATCTGCCTTTTGAACTCACCCGTCACGGAAAGCCTCATTGACTGACTTCGGCTTATGTAAACAAGATTGCTGTTGTTTGAATCTCATGGGACCAGATTTTCTTCTCGAGTCATCGTGTGTATTTATGAGTCGAATTCGTGTAACCGGAATTCAAATGATGACAACTATAACAGGGAATGGTCGGGACCGACAGGTACTTCGAGTTATGCATAATATTGGAGACACCGGCATTCGACTCATCGGGATTTGACTGTATTATTTTTAGGGTGGTATATAAATCTTAACACAAAAAAAAGACATTGGCAAACCAAAACAAGAAAACAAAAGTGAAGAAGAGTGTTTTCTCGGGACTGATGATTATGACCACGGTCCACTAGAACTATCTATGTTGGCTTGACCAGATCTACATGGACTGAATATAAGAAACAAGAACTACGAAACTACCTGACTTATATTAATTTGAAGTAAATACATAATTCTATGAATTTGGCTAAAGCAACATACTAAAACTTAACAAAACAAGCATAAAACATTGCACACGATGAACAGAAAACAACCTAAGCTTTGTTCAAAACCTATTCACTGACACATCTCACACATACGTTTTGATACAAATGCTTTCTTTGAAACATTGATTCAAGATTACTGTACTTACAGTAAAAGCACCCATCATCTTGCAAATCACTGAATTATCAACCCACATGCAGCTGAAATACTTTTCATATGACAAATGCTTACATCCCATTACTGGCGAGATCTGAGGCAACATCCACCCACCTGCCCACATACACCCACCCACCCACATGAACATTGGTCTCTGAAACTCTTTGAACAACTTTTAACAAAAACTAACATTATTTTATTAATTATTATTCCTATCCATAAACATAGTTCCTCTTACATTTCCGGACATTTTTTATGGTAGCTTTAAAAATAACAGCTTTGGGTCATTTCACCAGAAAAAATAAACAGAAGCTGTGAAAAACGACTGATTGTCTTGTACGTATCTGGTTAAACATCAGCTGATCATGTAACAACTAATATCTATGCATATATTCAAGCAAAGACAAGCACATATAAATCTATATCCAAGTATTTACAAGTCCATATCTACTCATATCTGCACAAGATGCCAACAGCTCTTCTGTATGTTGTACGTCTAAAATATCACGTGAGGGTGAAACAAAACTACTTTAGTATCAACATATTTGAAGATGTAAGGATAGTCGGTTACCAGAAAGGAAGGACGATGTTTTTGATGCTGTTGATGATGAAGATTTCATCTGTCAGAAAGGCAGGATGATGTTTTTGATGCTGTTGATGATGAATGAAGATTTCAGCTATCAGAAAGGCAGGACGATGTTTTTGATGCTGTTGAGGATGTAGTCGTCCAGGGGCTGGAGTCTCCAGGTGCTGATGCTGTCAAGGACCCACTCTCTGGACACGGTGATCAACCGGTTGTGTTTGTAGAAGCCTGTAACAAGACAACACAGTTTGTCAGAACTGATCATCATGTGACAACTGATATGACAACCAATGTGACAACAACCTGTTCATTATTGATCCTGTAACACACACGATTAACTGAGCTCTGGTACGATGACCTACATGGTTCAAAGAAACCACATCTGACTGCCAAATCAACATATTTCTCACCTCACATACATTTTGCTGGAGATGCCTATTAATGAGGAACCCCTCAAACTTGACAATATGGTGTTTCCTAAATTCCCACCATTTAGGACTAGAGCCATTTTGTACTCTGAAGTCTTGAGGTCATCATACAGCAAATCGATAAAGTTTGGCAACAACAGTGAATGCAATGGAACCTTGGAGAAAGACTTACAGTTAAAGTGTTCCACCTCCGATTTGGTGGGTGCCTCCTCCTCTGTATCTAGGCATCGGATGATCATGGGGATGGCAGCCGCCATCTTGCCCAGCTCCCAGGGGTCATCGGCCAGCGTGGCCCCGCCCTGTTGCAGCAGCAAGCTCATGTCCTCTGAAGCACAAGATACACGCTGTCAGACCAGAGTGACATATACAGACAAATCACTGGTAACAGAAGCAATCTTACAAGTACTACTTTTAAAACTTGACGTCAGCCATTTCCAGTAATTACTCCTTGCCCTATGCCCCTCCCCAAATAACAAGTTTTCTCGGATCATTTTTATTATTTTCTCATTATTTCAATTATTTTCTGGCAGTGTCAAGTTTGGTATATTTTCAATTTTAATATATTTTTCACAATGTAGGGGTGGAAATAACCCATTGCCCGGCGTCCGAGTCCAGTGTTTTTTTCTGTTGGGCATCAAATTTGTATATCACACTGTACCGGTGTCCAGTTGACTTTCCAATGTTAATTATGTTGTTTATTTTAAAAAATCAACAAGAAAATGGCCGGCATACTGGAAAAATTATCAGGGCAAGTGATTTTACATGTGCCACTGTTCCGGAGTACACTAGCAATTTTAAAGTTATTTCCACCCCTGCAATGCTGAATCAGTACTGGAACACTGTAGATTAGTACTGATATCACAAGAAAATAATTGATCTTACAAGAAAACTATATCACTTAAACAATGTTCTTGCATGGACAGTTTGAGGAACCATCACGCTAACAATCGAAGTGCCTCCACACAAGCTACCTTTAGTCATTTCATCGCTGACTCCGATACATGTGAGCGTGAACCCAGAAAACAGCTTCTTGTGCGATGTCCTTGACCTTTTGGGGCCATGGTGGTCCTCCACAATAACTGTGTCACCAACAATCTCGTACTTGTCCTTAAAACAGGCAAACTTTTGATAGCATCATCAAAACCAAACTGGCACTTTATTATCAGTTCCACGAATACCACACTTAAAACATGCATAACTTTCATGGCATGCACTAGTGTTGGGAATTGGTTGAAATCTCACAATTGATGATTGGTTCATTACCATCGAGCAATCATCGAAAAAAATGTTCCGTGTCATTTTTCATATTTTCCTATCCATGTTGTTATGGCTGATAAGTATAACATGGTTCTCTGTTGTTTTTTGTTGTATTTAGAAACTGCGAAAATTCCATTTGCAAATTTCACATGATGCAACTTGCTACTTTAAAGTGATGACTAATATATCATGACCATAAACTTCCTGGAGTCTTCAAGAAATATTCAGCCATGACTTTTCAGTTAGTTAAGTGAGTTTGCTAAGAATTAAACACGTTTTCAGGCCCTGAGAGCTTGTAAGATATGTTCCATCATCAAGTGTTTCAAACAAAAACAGTAGTTCCAAAATCGTTTGTGTTTCTTCATGAGAAAATGTTACTGTTTGCTTGGTCATTTGGTTACAGCGACCAATCTTCGATTATTTCAATTAATCGAAACACCACGGGCATGCAAAGAGTTTATATCAACTGTCAAATTCCACAAAGGGTAAATCTGTGACTCAAAACCATGACCATATTTGTAACATACCTCTGGGAGTGGCTTGTTGGCGAGTAGCGAGTCCCTCACCCAGTCGAAGGACACCACCCAGCACTTGCCCACAATCCCCTGGAAGTACTTGAGCGTCCGGTCACAAACAGGTCGAGCCTCGCCTGCAGCTGCAACACGTCATGGACTGACTGACTGACTGACTGAGTTTGGTTTTACGCCGCTTTTAGCAATATTCCATTAACATCACGGCAGGGGGCACCACAAATGGGCTTCACACATTGTACCCATGTGGGGATACACGAAATGGAGTCACTGTAAGAGTGGGAGAGACCTACCTCCACAGACAAGGCAATTTGTCGCTCAAATATTATGGGGGAGGTGAGGTAGCCTGGTGCTTAAAGTCTTCGTTCGTCACAGCGACGAACCGGGTTCGATACCCCACATACGTACAATGCAGGAAGCCCATTTCTGGTGTCCCCTGCCATGATATTGCTGGAATATTGCTAAAAGCAAAACTAAATTTGTCCTCAATGTATTCCTCACAACACTTACACAAAATGTCCTAAAATATTCCCTAAAAAGGCAGCAATTGTTTTCTTATATACTGAACATCAACTCTGAAAGGCATTTGTCGAGATGCTGCAGGCATAGTAACACCATCATAACTAACAAAGCCACAGAATGCACACTGACGCATGAGCCACAACATAATCTGACATAATTTTCCTTTCTTACCTTTCTTGACAACAATGTGGGTGACAGTCTTGTTGAACTTTGGGAAGAACACACTGCCGGTAACCTTAGTGAACTCTTGGACAGACATCTGAAAACATCAATCACGATGTCCAACAGTCATCACCCTCAGCCTACATTTCAAATGCTTTCTTCACGTCAATAACTTGTAGATTATTTCACAGGGTCTGGCATACATTACATCCAACAGTTTGCTAATATTATAGCCAGGATATTTAAATAGAAATCATTTATCTGATTTGTGATATCAAATGGAAAACAGAATCCACTGCTACAAAGCAAATTTAACACTATGGTGGGTCGGCAGTGAGGTAGCCTTGTGCATAAAGCGTCCACTCGTCACACCGAAGAACCGGGTTTGATTCCAATCATGGGTACAATGTGTGAAGCCTATTTCTGGTGTCCCCACCGTGATATTGCTGGAGTATTGTTAAAAGCAGCATAAAATCATACTCACTCATTATGGTGATATAACTCCCAACCTTAACACAGGCTTACGATCATCAAAATGTGGTCCTGGGCCTAGATTTTCGCGAATCTCTCATAGCGCTAAGATAGTCGTAAGTTAATGTTAATGTATGGCACTTACGACTATCTTAGCGCTAAGAGAGATTCGGAAATCTAGGCCCTGGTTTGTATCACAAAGATCTGATGATGAAGGTAGCTATCTCACCGCCTGCTCTCTACTAAGTCCGCTTGTGATGAGGACAATCTTCTCCGACCGAGGGTTCCCCATGTTGCTGGTCTGAAGGGGACTAAGAACTGACCGACTACTGGCACAATTGGCCTGGGTTGGGGATTTGATTTTCTCAATTATCTCAAAGGCTTTGACGATTTCAGCTGACTTCCGCGCCTTAGGTAGTGTGTCGAAGTCAGGTGGAGGAGAGGGCGACCTGGGGCTGAGGAACAGGTCGTCATGGCTCAAGTTGCTGTCATCGCTTGAGTCGTACCCATCTTTTGTCTTGTTGGATGCTGGAATGACATTAGGAGTTGCCATCTTGCAGTTTACTAAATTCAGATTTGTAGTACAGATCAAAAGAAAAGTTTTACTGAATGGAACACTTGTTTGTAGACTTGTGTAACACCAACTGTGCTATACTTCATCTCTAAGACAGCAGTAGACACTCCAGCAAGTGATCTTACAGACATGTTAGAGGCTGTCTGGGTATTATGCGTAGAGCTCAGGTCATGAACCAGTTGAAGTTAAGCAACATCGAGTGCGGAGAGTCCTTGGATGGGTGAACGTGTTTGGCAGCTTGACTCCTGTGAGTTTCTAGGACTTCAGTCGTGCCCCACAACGAAGCACATATGATACATGTGGTCTCACCTCAGACAAGCGAGTTTGTTCAAAATTGCCTCTGTTCACCCAGCAGAAAATGGGTACCCGGTGAGAGAAGTCATGTGGCTATAACCTTCCAACGCCTCACAGGCAGCTTAGGTTATCCGAGGTAATATTAATCAGATTCTGATTACAGCGTCCCTTGCTTCCAGCGCGTCACAGGCAGCTTAGGTTATCCGAGGTAATATTAATCAGATTCTGATTACAGCGTCCCTTGAGCAACTAGTCAGAGGTGAGGTGAGGTGAGGTGAAATTGGGTTTAATGTCGTACTTGAGAATATTTCGCTCATATGACGACGTGCATGCATGTGTATGTGTAGGTGCGGCTGCTTGTACTAGCCCAGACTGAAGCTGGTTTTATAGTGCTATCCCACTGAGATACCATGCCGCAGTGAAGCATGAATACCCCACTCAGACACAGTATACTGACTCCAAGCCGACCAGTCCCTGTTGTGCCCATTAATGCCGAGTGCCAGGCAGGGACCAACAAGTACCATATTTTAACGTCTTTTGGTATGACGCAGTCGGGGATCGAACCCGTGACCTTCTGCTCTCCGGGCGGACGCTCTAACCACTACACCACGGAGGCGGTCACTAGTCAGATGGATACTGGGTGCTATATAAATGAATGATTGTTATTATATTGTAACTAATGAGTGGACATTTATTAAACTAGTTCTGATGTTTCAGGCAAATTCTGCAAAATGTCATGCTTTTGTGTGCTCCCATAGTTACAATCAGCAAGATGTTACCATGGTTACATATCTTTGCATTATTTGCTAAAGAGGAACTCATGCACATGTAATGCTTGCATTCAGTTTATAAGAAGATATACTTACAGATACATGCATGTTCAAAAAGTAACATGGGGGCTACAGGGCTACAGTGTTATTATAATACCCTGGCATTTGGTCTGAATATCTGTACACTTCAGCTGAAACTGATCTGGCTTACATAGTGGTGGGAATCGGATGAAATTTCATAATCGATAATCAGTTGCAATTGGATTGTCCCATCCGATCAATCATCGATTGTACAATCGGTTGATTAAGAATTAAATATTGTTTACAACTTGTGCAATTCCCAGGTAAACATTTGAACTTGAATAATTTGTTTAATTATGTGATAATAGTGAGCATTAAATAAAATATGTCAGCTTTTGTGGTTGGTTTCTGTGAAAAATGTGACTTGGGGGTGCATCTACAAGAACTTAAAAACTACTGAATAATGTAATTTTTATGATAAAATGATTATTTTTATACTTATCCTGACTCCTGATTATTGCTTATCTCCCTTCTCCTTCGACGGTCAAGTGGAAACCTTGAATCCTATTCAAATTCACTGAAGCGTCCGTACAATCACTCACCTCCCTTATTCCCACCAAAACCGGTCCTACGTGACCTGAGACTAGCTCTTATCACTCTCTCCATAATATGCCCGCATTGCGACTTACAGTGAAGAACCGTAATGCTGAGAGTGGGGACGGTCGGGAGGGCTTACCTCATGTGTCAGGATAAGTATAAAAATAATAATTTTATCATAAAAATGACATATTTTTCCTTATCCTGACTCATGATTATTACTTATGAAATCTGACGGAATAAGTGGTGGTCAGCCGCTGTCTATATATAGTCCAAACACTTACCCGCTGTAAAATCCCGTTGTTACCTTCCCTTGTGAATTCGTCATATAGGGGGACCACCTACTTTTAATTAATTAAGAGAAGTAAATCTCATAGATTTCCGTGGTTTTAGATAATCTAGTATGTTAGATATTCCAAACGATCCATAAGGTAAGGACTATTACCGAAACTGGAATCGCAACCCGTACGTTAAGTAAGGACTATTACTTAACAAGGTTTATATCACTCATGTTCTGACTTCTCAAGTAAGTCAGGTGGACATGGACTCTCACCTGGCGGCAATGGGACAGTTGCCTAGCGTCTACAAGTCAGCGTGATTTGGGTGAGTTCTCAATGTCTGGTTGGATTTGTGAGTTGTTGAGCCACTATATGTGGTCCGAACTGGTGAATGCCTGATAGATCCTCTCAATATATGTGGTCCGAACTGGTGAATGCCTGATAGATCCTCGCAATATCTGGTAGATAGTGATTAGCAAACACTGTGAGACCTCAAAAAACAGCCTTCTATCATTGATAATAACGAGCAATTCCCATGTAGTGCGAGTGTTGATGCTAATGCTCTTATTTTGTGTGGATTGCATGCTGTAGGCAGCGGTAATCCTGCTGTTTTGTAGGCTCTCAAAATAACTGCTCTAATCCAAAAGGATATTGTGGTTCGTGAGACCTCAATCGATGTAGCAGTTGATAATGGGATGAAGAGGCGCTTAAACTCTAAATTTTCTGTTGTTGATCCTCTAGTTTAAAAGCGATCTCAATAATGCTACTAGTTCAGGAACTTTGGTGAGTTTAACTCGAGTTCATGGTAATCACCGAACTGATTGCTGCTAAGTATGTTAAAGTGTTGATCCTTTCAAATGTTGGGTTGATCTGAGATGGCAGAGATATTCTGCTACTTGCGGATGTGTTGCTTCTGCTGCCATGAATCGTTTGCTTGTAGCAAATTGATCAAAATTCCTCCATTTATCATCATACAGATTACGGGTTGTATGTCTTAAAGCCAGTGTAACTGCCTTAGCAGCTGTCGTGGAATAACCTCTTTTCTTCGAACAGTGAGTGATACGCTCCATACGTGTAGTCTGAGAGTTGTTGCATTGCCGTGCAGTTGTTTTGTGTGAGGATGAATCAGTAGGTTTGGCCAATCTGGAAATTTTAGTATTGGCTCCCCTAATAAGCTTATTAAGTCTGGAAACCATGTTCTCGCTGGCCAGTAAGGCAGCGACCAAAATCAGTTGTAGGATTTTGGTTGTAGGATTTTGGTCTGAGCAATCTTGTGTAGAACTTGTGGTAGTAGTATCGGTGGAGGAATCGCGTACGCATTTAGACCTTCCCATGATATTGTGAGGGCGTCTGTCGCCCATGCTTGTGGATCTGGTACCAGCGAGACAAACTTTACAATCTGATTATTGAATTGTGTTGCAAAGAGGTCTATGAGAGGGCAACCGTGTTCTCTTGTTATCAGTAGAAATGCTTCCGGGTGTAATTTCCATTCCGTAGGTGATGGTCTCATTGGTCTGGATAAGGCGTCTGCTAGGAGGTTTTTTGATCCCGGAATGTGACAAGCTCTTATCCACAGTTTGAGGTTGTCTACTACATTGAATAGTTGATATGTTAGTCTTAGTAGAGGCGCTGACTTTGTTGATCCTTGTAGGTTTATATAAAACGCTACTGTTAAGTTGTCTGTGTGTATCATGAGAACTTGATTCCTGAGTACATGCACCCAATGTTGAATTGCCTCTATAACTGCCTTGAGTTCTAGTTGATTTATGTGTAATTTCTTTTCGATTGGTGACCAAACTCCTGAGGCGACTTTGTCGTTGAAGTACACTCCCCATCCTTGTAGGGATGCGTCTACATACAGATGTAGTCTGTATACCGGCTCTTTCAAATAAGTTTCGTTGGATACGTTCAACTTGTTTGTCCACCACATTAAGTATTCCTTCAAGTGTTGAGGAATGCTTATGGGTTGTAGATTTTCCAGATGTGGTGTTAAGAACCACTGAATTGGACGTAGTTGTAACCTTCCTCTGCGAGTTAGGGATCGAGCTGACGTTAGGAGGCCCAATAATCTCTCTTATCAGAAGAGGTTCGTTCAAGGCGGTGTGTAGACATTTCTGTATATTCTCCCATCGTTCCTGTGGGAGTACAATTCGATTTTCTCTGGTGAGAAACTTGATTCCCAGGAATTGTAATTCCTGTGACGGACATAGTTCTGATTTTCTCCTGTTGACTAACCATCCTAGTTGAGTTAGTAGTTGAATTGTCAATTCTAACTGATGTTTGAGTTGATTTGCTGACTGATGTGCCTGAATGCCGTCGTCCAGATAGAAGGCATTGCGAACCTCTCTCTGATGTAGAAACGCCACAATTGGTTTGGTGACACATGTAAATAGCCATGGGGCTGACGAAATTCCAAAGGGGAGTACTTTCCATTGATAGTGCTTCCCTTGATATAGGAATCGTAGGTATTTCCTTGATTCTGGATGTATGGGGATGTGTAGGTACGCATCCTGTAAATCTATGCTGGCTAGATAGTCGTTGGGTCTTATTAAGTGTCTCAGTTGAGGTAGATGAAGCATCTTGAACTTCAGTAGAAAGTCTCAGTTGAATTGTTTCATATTGTACATGAGACGCAATTTCTCTGTGGAGTTCTTTTTGGGTACTAGAAATATCGGGGAATAAAATCCTGGTGTGAGACTGTTTTCTTCTGTAATCTCTACTGCATTCTTTGTCAGTAGTGAATTGATGGCGTCTGATAGCTTGATGCATTGTTGGTTTGAATAATGATGTATTTGTGGTATAATGGTGAGAGGTGGTCAAACCATGAGTTGAATTCTGTAGCCTTCGCGTAACACTTGTACCACAAAGTTGTCTTGTAGTACTTCCGAATTATTCCAGTACAGACCTAGACATCCCCCACTGATGTGGGCTTCACTGGAACCGCTGGAGGAGGGACGATCCAGTCGGTTCTGAAGCTGATTTTCATTGACGTGTTAAACGGGAGGATCCTGATGAGCGACCTCTCCCGGATCGTCCTCTGGAGTTGTCATATGGACGACGAAAATTAGTTGTTTTGCCTCCTCGAGCTCCGGTAGCTCTCTTTTCTCTGGGGGCGGTGGGGTAGCCTAGTGGTTAAAGCATTGGCTCGTCATGCCAAAGACCCGGGTTCGAATCCCCACATGGGTACATTGTGTGAAGCCCATTTCTGGTGTTCCCCGCCGTGATGTTGCTGGAATATTGCTAAAAGCGGCGTTAAACCAAACTCAGTCAGTCAGTCAGTCTTTTCTCTGGCCTTTTGTATGCCTGGAAACTTTGAACGAAATTGTCCTCTTCGTGGCGATTGTCGATACATGTTATTCATCGTCTGCATAGATCTGATGAGCATCTGATCTCTATTGTCCTGACATACTTCCCGTGATGTCGATCTTATACTTCCATCAAATAAAGTGGACGCAGCCCATGGTTGTCGTAGAAGCGCCTTAATATGAAAATCTGGCCAATTGCAAGATGCGAGTAATCCTTGACGATGAAGTAGTGTTAGTCCGGCGGATGTTGATGCCAAATGATCAGACATAAATTCGAACTAACCTGTAGAGGTTTCAGATTCTTTGAATATATTCCTCCTTGGGGTACTTATAAGCATTTAAATGTCCTGACACACTCATGATTTTGCGCTAGGAAAAGAAACCTTCTTGAATGGACCGCTTATAAGTACCCCAAGGAGGAATATATAAAAAAGAATCCTGATCCTTTCTGTTTCTGTTGTCGGATTCTGGAAGTTGTTGATTAGAGCCTCATTTATGGCTCTAGATCTGGCTAGTCCAAAGAATGTACGCCTTGTCTAAGTTGGCCAGCTTCCTGTCTTCTACTTTGTAGTTGTGTGATTTAGATTTATTGATGAGATAATAATCATAGTCAATCTCTGGTGCCCTGAAGAATTGTTCCATGTTATGTAGTGGAAATTTCCTTGCATTAAATGATGGTGTATGTTGACCTTGATGTCTGGTAGCATTTGCGAATGCTAACTTGAGGTTTGATGAAACCTGTGATATAGGTTTAATAGGTGGTATAGTTAATGTCTCAAGATCCTCATCTATAATACGATAAGTCTCCGATGAATTCTCTCAATAAGGGAGGTAACTCAGGGTGAGTGATTGTACGGACGCTTCAGTGAATTTGAATAGGATTCAAGGTTTCCACTTGACCGTCAAAGGAGAAGGGAGATAAGCAATAATCATGAGTCAGGATAACGAAAAATTTATATTTTTCATAAGTTTTAATTGTCATTTGAGGCAAGATTGTACAAAATCACAAGCAACCCAAGTCTACATTGATCAACAAAAATATGTGTACAAAAATAAATACTGACAGACTACCAAGATATAGAAAAGATGACTGTTCAGTTCACTCTTTTGCAGATTTTACACAATCACAACAAATCCTCACAATTTTTTCAAAATTTTGATCCACTTTTTACACTAATGTACCGTATATTATCGTAGATAAGTCGAATTTTGAGGACCAAAATAGCAGTCTGTAGAAGGGGGTCAGCTTATCTATGGGTTACATTTCAGTCAAACTTTTTTTCAGAGGGTAAGAAAACAACATGTTATCGCTTCGCATGAACAAGCTGACAAGAGAAGACGACTTTGTCAGTAAAGACGTCAAATTTGCAATTAAACATCACTAGACAAAATTATTTACCTTTTCAGTTCGAATTTGTTTTGCTAGGCATTGTATTATATGCAGGGATTAAGATTACCGTGTGTATTTGTCTCGTGTGTAAAGCTGGAAATAGAAATTTTACCAAGAGAAATATATCCTAGCATTGTGTAAATTTACTTATAAATTTTGCTCTATAAATGTAAAAAATGTATAACCAATACTAAGGTTATACGGACCCTCAAGCGAAAGTTGAGCTCATGGAATGAGGTGAAATAAGCATGCCATTTCACACACGTTTTCACCGATGTTACCGTCAACTAGGGCCTACATGGATGACGAGGCAGTGATCAGTTCGTGATTGATGAGAATAATCTGAAATTGGTGCTATCGCAGTTGGAGCGGAAATGAAAACCTTACCCTAATGAACATGGTAAGCGGAAGTTGTTCACACATGGAATGAGGTGAAATACACATGCAATATGATTGTGAATTCTGTGAATAATGCGGATAAAAGTTATAATTATCGGTGACTGCCAGTTGGAAAAGGGTAACCAATCAATTTTCGATTATAATCGATCATCGGAACACCACTACTTACGGAGATTCATTTTGCAGAGACTGACCTTTTACTCAAATATGCAGCTTATCTGAAGCTCAGCTTCATATACTGATCGTTAAATATTGCATCCTCACCCTCAACAATGTCGCCCACGTCTGCGTCCTCCGCAACCTCTACCATGGTCCCATCTTCGTCTTCTCTCTCAGCGACATCTTTCATGGCTTCAAGACGTTTAATCTCCTCTCTCATGTTCTCAAGGTCTTTTTCAAGTTTTCCTTGTTGCTGAAAATATGATAAAGAAAAAATTGGTTTCAGGAAAGTATTTACTTTAATCTCTTTGAAACAAATTCAAATCACTCTGTGTGACTGTATGTTGTTCAATGCCAGATATATCTGGGGCCAGTAGATGACAGTGGCAGATGACATCCAGTAGGCAAATAGCTCCTTTCCTATACCATGCATATTTGTGTTGTCTCATAGCGATAACCCCTGACACTGCTGGGAGTCCGGAGGAGGAGGAGGATGAGGAGGATTAACAGCAACCACTAAGTCCAACTGTCACATGTTTGAACATAGTGGGGGTCGGTGGGATAGCCTAGTGGTTAAAGCGCTATTTCGTCTGCGCCGAAGACCCGGGTTCGAATCCCCACATGGGTACATTGTGTGAAGCCCATTTCCGGTGTCCCCCGCCGTGATGTTGTTGGAATATTGCTAAAGCCGGCGTAAAACCTAACTCAGTCAGTCAGTTGAACATGGTGGATGAGTGACATAGGTTGTTGTTGAGTGGTTTAGGAAGCGGTTTAGTGAGTGAGTGAGTGAATGGTTTAGTGACTGATAGAGTGAAAGTAATTTAGTGACTGATTGAAAGAGTGGTTTAATGAGTGAGTGAATGGTTACGTGAATGATCCAGGGATGATTGAGTGATTGGTTTAATGAATGATTGAGAGAACCGTTGAGTGAGTTGTTGGGTGAGAGACATCCAAAAGTGCCCACCTGTGTTGTGAGGACTTCACTCTGACTGGAGAAGGCACTGGACGATGTAAAGTTCATCTGTTGGTCACTGTGACAAGTATCATAGTCGTCATCATCGTTGCTGTCACTGTCTGTGATGACAGCATGCCGAGACGATTTCCTCACTCCAATAGGAGCTTCATCACTCTGATGCACACAAATGACAAAGATGTACTCCACAAAATAATATTTGGTTAAGAACTTGAAATGGCAACCCTAGTGACAATCTTGATTTACACAATCACCTGAAACATAAGTTACCGCTACAGCAATAACACAGCATCGCTACTACAACAACAACACAGCATCACTTCAGCAATAACACACTATCGAAACAGCAATAACACAGCATCACTACAGCAATAACACATTATCGAAACAGCAACAACACATTACCACTACAGCAATATCACAGCATTACTACAGCAATAACACAGCAACGCTACTACAACAACAACACAGCATCACTTCAGCAACAACACATTACCACTACAGCAATAACACAGCATCACTACAGCAATAACACATTATCGAAACAGCAACAACACATTACCACTACAGCAATATCACAGCATTACTACAGCAATAACACAGCATCGCTACAGCACAACAACAACGACACAGCATCACTACAGCAATAACACATTACCACTACAGCAATAACACAGCATCACTACAGCAATAACACAGCATCACTACAGCAATAACACAGCATCACTACAGCAATAACACATTATCGAAACAGCAACAACACATTACCACTACAGCAATATCACAGCATTACTACAGCAATAACACAGCATCACTACAGCAATAACACACTATCGAAAAACCAACAACACATTATCACTACAGCAATAACACAGCATCACTACAGCAATAACACAGCATCACTACAGCAATAACACAGCATCACTACAGCAATAACACAGCATCACTACAGCAATAACACAGCATCACTACAGCAATAACACAGCATCACTACAGCAATAACACAGCATCACTACAGCAATAACACAGCATCACTACAGCAATAACACAGCATCTCTACAGCAATAACACAGCATCACTACAGCAATAACACAGCATCACTCACAGCAATAACACAGCAGCATCACTACAGCAATAACACAGCATCACTACAGCAATAACACAGCATCACTACAGCAATAACACAGCATCACTACAGCAATAACACAGCATCACTACAGCAATAACACAGCATCACTACAGCAATAACACAGCATCACTACAGCAATAACACAGCATCACTACAGCAATAACACAGCATCACTACAGCAATAACACAGCATCACTACAGCAATAACACAGCATCACTACAGCAATAACACAGCATCACTACAGCAATAACACAGCATCACTACAGCAATAACACAGCATCACTACAGCAATAACACAGCATCACTACAGCAATAACACAGCATCACTACAGCAATAACACAGCATCACTACAGCAATAACACAGCATCACTACAATAACACAGCATCACTACAGCATCACTGCAGCAATAACACAGCATCACTACAGCAATAACACAGCATCACTACAGCAATAACACAGCATCACTACAATAACACAGCATCACTACAGCAATAACACAGCATCACTACAGCAATAACACAGCATCACTGCAGCACACAGCATCACTACAGCAATAACACAGCATCACTACAGCAATAACACAGCATCACTACAGCAATAACACAGCATCACTACAGCAATAACACAGCATCACTCACTACAGCAATCACAGCTCACAGCAATAACACAGCATCACTACAGCAATAACACAGCATCACTACAGCAATAACACAGCATCACTACAGCAATAACACAGCATCACTACAGCAATAACACAGCATCACTACAGCAATAACACAGCATCACAGCAATAACACAGCATCACAGCAATAACAACACAGCATCACTACAGCAATAACACAGCATCACTACAGCAATAACACAGCATCACTACAGCAATAACACAGCATCACTACAATAACAAGCATACTACAATAGCATCACTACAGCAATAACACAGCATCACTACAGCAATAACACAGCATCACTACAGCAATAACACAGCATCACTACAGCAATAACACAGCATCACTACAGCAATAACACAGCATCACTACAGCAATAACACAGCATCAGCAATAACACAGCATCACTACAGCAATAACACAGCATCACTACAGCAATAACACAGCATCACTACAGCAATAACACAGCATCACTACAGCAATAACACAGCATCACTACAGCAATAACACAGCATCACTACAGCAATAACACAGCATCACTACAGCAATAACACAGCATCACTACAGCAATAACACAGCATCACTACAGCAATAACACAGCATCACTACAGCAATAACACAGCATCACTACAGCAATAACACAGCATCACTACAGCAATACAGCATCACTAACACAGCATCACTACAGCAATAACACAGCATCACTACAGCAATAACACAGCATCACTACAGCAATAACACAGCATCACTACAGCAATAACACAGCATCACTACAGCAATAACACAGCATCACTACAGCAATAACACAGCATCACTACAGCAATAACACAGCATCACTACAGCAATAACACAGCATCACTACAGCAATAATAACACAGCAATAACACTACAGCAATAACACAGCATCACTACAGCAATAACACAGCATCACTACAGCAATAACACAGCATCACTACAGCAATAACACAGCATCACTACAGCAATAACACAGCATCACTACAGCAATAACACAGCATCACTACAGCAATAACACAGCATCACTACAGCAATAACACAGCATCACTACAGCAATAACACAGCATCACTACAGCAATAACACAGCATCACTACAGCAATAACACAGCATCACTACAGCAATAACACAGCATCACTACAGCAATAACACAGCATCACTACAGCAATAACACAGCATCACTACAGCAATAACACAGCATCACTACAGCAATAACACATTATCGAAACAGCAATAACACAGCATCACTACAGCAATAACACAGCATCACTACAGCAATAACACAGCATCACTACAGCAATAACACAGCATCACTACAGCAATAACACAGCATCACTACAGCAATAACACAGCATCACTACAGCAATAACACAGCATCACTACAGCAATAACACAGCATCACTACAGCAATAACACAGCATCACTACAGCAATAACACAGCATCACTACAGCAATAACACAGCATCACTACAGCAATAACACAGCATCACTACAGCAATAACACAGCATCACTACAGCAATAACACAGCATCACTACAGCAATAACACAGCATCACTACAGCAATAACACAGCATCACTACAACAATCACTACAGCAATAACAGCATCACTACAGCAATAACACAGCATCACTACAGCAATAACACAGCATCTCTACAGCAATAACACAGCATCACTACAGCAATAACACAGCATCTCTACAGCAATAACACAGCATCACTACAGCAACAACACAGCATCACTACAGCAATAACACAGCATCACTACAGCAATAACACAGCATCACTACAGCAATAACACAGCATCACTACAGCAATAACACAGCATCACTACAGCAATAACACAGCATCACTAACATCACTACAATAACACAGCATCACTACAGCAATAACACAGCATCACTACAGCAATAACACAGCATCACTACAGCAATAACACAGCATCACTACAGCAATAACACAGCATCACTACAGCAATAACAGCAATAACACAGCATCACTACAGCAATAACACAGCATCACTACAGCAATAACACAGCATCACTACAGCAATAACACAGCATCACTACAGCAATAACACAGCATCACTACAGCAATAACACAGCATCACTACAGCAATAACACAGCATCACTACAGCAATAACACAGCATCACTACAGCAATAACACAGCATCACTACAGCAATAACACAGCATCACTACAGCAATAACACAGCATCACTACAGCAATAACACAGCATCACTACAGCAATAACACAGCATCACTACAGCAATAACACAGCATCACTACAGCAATAACACAGCATCACTACAGCAATAACACAGCATCACTACAGCAATAACACAGCATCACTACAGCAATAACACAGCATCACTACAGCAATAACACAGCATCACTACAGCAATAACACAGCATCACTACAGCAATAACACAGCATCACTACAGCAATAACACAGCATCACTACAGCAATAACACAGCATCACTACAGCAATAACACAGCATCACTACAGCAATAACACAGCATCACTACAGCAATAACACAGCATCACTACAGCAATAACACAGCATCACTACAGCAATAACACAGCATCACTACAGCAATACAGCAATAACACAGCATCACTACAGCAATAACACAGCATCCCTACAGCAATAACACAGCATCACTACAGCAATAACACAGCATCACTACAGCAATAACACAGCATCACTACAGCAATAACACAGCATCACTACAGCAATAACACAGCATCACTACAGCAATAACACAGCATCACTCCACAACAGCAATAACACAATAACACATCACTACAGCAATAACACAGCATCACTACAGCAATAACACAGCATCACTACAGCAATAACACAGCATCACTACAGCAATAACACAGCATCACTACAGCAATAACACAGCATCACTACAGCAATAACACAGCATCACTACAGCAATAACACAGCATCACTACAGCAATAACACAGCATCACTACAGCAATAACACAGCATCACTACAGCAATAACACAGCATCACTACAGCAATAACACAGCATCACTACAGCAATAACACAGCATCACTACAGCAATAACACAGCATCACTACAGCATCACTATAACACAGCATCACTACAGCAATAACACAGCATCACTACACAGCATCACTGCAGCAATAACACAGCATCACTACAGCAATAACACAGCATCACTACAGCAATAACACAGCATCAGCTACAGCAATAACACAGCATCACTACAGCAATAACACAGCATCACTACAGCAATAACACAGCATCACTACAGCAATAACACAGCATCACTACAGCAATAACACAGCATCACTGCAGCAATAACACAGCATCACTACAGCAATAACACAGCATCACTACAGCAATAACACAGCATCACTACAGCAATAACACAGCATCACTACAGCAATAACACAGCATCACTACAGCAATAACACAGCATCACTACAGCAATAACACAGCATCACTACAGCAATAACACAGCATCACAATAACACAGCATCACTACAGCAATAACACAGCATCACTACAGCAATAACACAGCATCACTACAGCAATAACACAGCATCACTACAGCAATAACACAGCATCACTACAGCAATAACACAGCATCACTACAGCAATAACAACAGCATTGCTACAGCAATAACACATTATCACTACAGCAATAACACAGCATCACTACAGCAATAACACAGCATCACTACAGCAATAACACAGCATCACTACAGCAATAACACAGCACACTACACAACAGCAGCATCCCTACACAGCATCACTACAGCAATAACACAGCATCACTACACCAGCACACACATCAGCATAACACGCTACAGCAATAACACAGCATCACTACAGCAATAACACAGCATCCCTGGCAATAACACATTGCATCACTACAGCAACAACAGCAATAATCATTGCTACAGCAATAACACACCATCCCTACAGCAATAACACATTACCCAACAGCAACAACACAGCATTGCTACTGCAATAATCACAGCTACAGCAATAACACACCATCCCTACGCAATAACACAGCATTACCACAGCAATAACACAGCATTGCTGCTGCAATAGAACAATGCCATTATTGAAGCAAAGATACAGCAATAACACATGAACAATGCCATATTGAAGAAGCAATGACATCGTAATGCATCAGTAAAGCCAGAATACAACATTTACAATGTAATGGGGTTCTCTTTTAATGATGCAGTTTAAATATGAAACAAATATGGCAGGCTGAACATCACAGATCACTGTCATATTGGGATTACACATTCTCTTTTCAGACTGGTACTTTATTAGGGTTAGTCCCATCCAGGAAGCCAGTGCCAATTTATACTTGTCAGAGCGGCACACAAAGTCTGTGATATAGGCTACCAGTTGTCCAACTTCCATTTTTCTGGGAGCTGCGGTGGTTAAGGGGGTTAGATTGCTGACTTTGTGTGCTGGTGATTAAGTGCCCGTCCCTGAGAGAGTGGGTTAGAATCCCGGATGGGACCTAATATAAGAAATAAAATCTGTACTGAGAAAGCGTAATCCCAAATATAAGATATGTTACATTTGATGCCTGTCTAAATGCCATTGTGTATTCACCACCAACCTCATCTTCCAGGGCTTGTATGGGGCTACTGGCACGGACAGGAGAGCTTGTCTGGGGCAGTTCTGCAAACATCGCATCACCTTCTGGCATTTCTGCTTTCCTTATCACTTCATCATCATCCCGGAGCACAAACTCTTCATCAGAACTGGAATCCTCCGTCCTGGCTGCGGGCTGACCTGAGTCGATCCAGTACTACAATGTCATCATCAACCTTACCCTCAACAGAGGACTGAACTGTGGGGAGGTTTATTTTACCTCTGCGACTTTGTTTCCGTCCATTCCTTTCTGCCCTGGACCTTCCTGAGTGTTCACAACTAGAAGACTCAACTGTTGTAGCTTCATCTTCATCATCACTTGACAATACGTGTTTGGTCCTTCTTTTGGATTTAGCCTTACCATCAGTGGTTGGCTGAATCAGAGCCACACTAACCTGTGAACCACAATCTCCTTTCTGTCTCTGTTTAGGTTCATTCCTTTCCCTAGCAGATTCTGAGAGTTTACAATCTGAAGAATCAACCGATGCATCATCTTCAGTGTCACTTGACAGCACATGCTTCTTCATCACTGCAGAATCTTTCTTCTTCTGAGTTTTGGTCCGGGATTCTTGTTCAGCACGAGGTACGTCAGAGGGAGTGGGACCGACACATTCAGAATCTGTCAGAGACAGTTGCTGCTTTGTAGTTGGACATCTCTGTGATGTGGTCGACTGAGACGTCACTCCGTCTTCATCCCTGAACTCTGCCACCTTCCCTGATAAAGACTTTGATGAGGAAATTACAATAGGACTGTCGGCAGTTTCTTTGCTTGGCTGTTTTTTCTTCAATGATGCTAACCCTCTTGCAGCCTTAACACCCTTCTTAACAGACCTTGGTGTCTTGCAAGTGTCAGAGTCACTTGAATCCGAGTCCGATAAGAGTGACCTCTTCTCCTTCACAGCGGTTTGCTTGGGGGAAAGTGTGGGTGTGTCCACTTCATCATCCTCGCAGGTCGGCACCAGTGTGTTCTGTGATGCATCATCTACAGTCAATGACTGCTCTGTGTTTCTGTTAAAAATGTCTGTCATCGATTCTTGGACCTGGCTGCTGTCCGACAAAGTATTCAAAAGCTGAGGACTATCATTAACGCACTGTGGATCTTGCTGCTCTGCTACAATATCAAATGCTTTCGAAATTGTACCACGGACAGAATTTGTATTCAAATTGTGTCTTTCGCAATCTCTGCTGCCCTCAGTTGTGCTACACATGCCAGTGTCCATTGGTTCGTGATCCATGTTTTCACAAGATCCTTTAACATCCAGAGACTTTTTAGCGGATGGCTTTGCTCTCCTGCTTAATTTTGTCCTTGATTCTTTGGCTCGAGCTCGCAGAGGACTTGCCTCAAGAGAGAAACACTTCCTCTTTGGTCTATGAATGATAAGCGGCTCATCATCTGAATCATCCAGTGTGATTGTAATAGGGGCACTGCTGACTTCAGGAGTACTTGGTATCTTAGCTGTGTCCTGCAGTTCTGGAAGCGTGGAAGCCTCCCCCCCACTCTCAGTTACGCTTTCTCTTCTGAGACTTATTTCTTTTACCAACAGCTTGCATATTTTGTTGTATCCCCTGTCCAGCTGAACCCTTATGTTGATTTTTCTTGTTCCCTGTCCTAGAAGTTTTGACATCAGTGTCAGTCATAAGAATGGAGACACTTTCTATAGTGGAGGCTTCTTGCGACTTGCCAGAGGCAGCATCCTGTTCATCATGCTGTTCCAGTATACTCAAGGATTCAGCCACAGTTTCAGGAACATCCACAGATGCTTTTGCAGCTCCACCATCTGTCTCCACAACATCAGCAGCCTCTTCGTCATCACTGAAACCCACATCTGGAGGCAATGTCTGTTCATCACTTACCAAGGGCACAGAGGCTGGGTCTGTCGAAGCCTGACTGTGTACAAGAGAGAATCCCTGTATTTCATCTCTTGATTTCTGTTTCTCCTGCTGAGAGTTTGTTTCATCACAAGCTACAGGCTCCTCCACATCTGAACATGATACTTCAATAACAGGGTCATTATTTCTGCTCGAACTCCTTCGAGAAGGCCTTGATTTGCTTGTGGTCAAACCATCTGCCCGATTTCTCCCTGCTCTAGTTCTCAGTGACCTTGTGGATCTCTCACTGCCGGTCTCCACGGTATCTTCTATCAAGTTCACTGACTCTTCTTCAATACTTTCAGGAACAACATCTCCACTCTGGCTTTTACCATTCTGAAGAGCCCTCTCAATATCACCAGCCATAATGCTATCCTTACAACTATCTTCATCTTTAGTTATCACAGACCCTGCGTTTGCACTTCCCAATTTCTCCGGACCAGTCACAGATTTTGAGGTCTGTGGAACATCACAGGTGGTGCTAGCAGAATCTACAGCTATAGTCACTACCTCGTCCTCTGAACCCTGGTCAGTTGGAGAACAAGCTGGCTTGCCATTTGCCAAAGACTGTCCTTCCTCTACATAGTCATTTACTCTACCAGCGGAGGACTGTCCACATTGTGAAGGGTCTTGAGTCTGGCTCACCACAGACTGTCCACACTGTGTAGGGTCTTGAGTCTGGCACACCACAGACTGTCCACATTGTGAAGGTTCTTGATTCTGGCTCACCACAGACTGTCCACATTGTGAAGATTCTTGATTCTGGATCACAACAGACTGTCTGTCCTCTGTATCAGTCTGCTTGCTGGCAGTTGAGGATGGTCCGTCTTGGTGAGGTGCCTTGTCAACACTAGCATCTTTCACAGAGCATCCATCATCTAGACAACGTGCAGTACTTCCTTCAGCCGAGGACAAGTTACTGTTTGACATCTGAGAGAGATGCCGCTTGATTTCATCCGGCTGAATGTCTGAAACATACAACGTATAGTGTAAGGGGTACATGAAAAAACAATGCAGATCTAACATATGTTATATTTGGGATTACACTTTCTTAGTAAAGTACAGATTCTAGTACTTTTTAGGCTGAGTCCCATCCGGGATTCGAACCCACACCCTCAGAGTCAGGCACCTATTCGCCAACACACAAAGTCAGACGCCTAGACCGCTCAGCCACCGCGGCTTCCACTAAAAATGGAAGTTGGACAACTGGTAGTCTAGACTGCGGACTTTGTGTACCCCTCTGATAAGTGTTAATTGGCATGGCCCCCACGGCCAAGCTATGAAATACACAATGCCATTTTAGAAAGTGTAATCCCAAATATAACATATGTTACATTTGACCACTTTCTAAAATGGCATTGTGTATTTCATAATACAGATCTAATTTTGTAAATACTGGGATCTGATTTTCATAAAATGTAGACCTTAAGGGTGTTTTAGTTGTCTGTTACTTAACACAACACTCTACAGTTTTACAGTCATATGTCAACCTGGAAACACTGTATGTCAAAACATACAACAAGCCCTCTACAAACCTTCAAAATCAACCACCTGTGACGATCTTCAGTAACCCATGCAGGCGACTAACGGGATCGGGTGGTCAGGCTCGCTGACTGGGTTGACACATGTCATCGTATCCCAGTTGCGTAGATCGATGCTCATGCTGTTGATCCCTGGATTGTCTGGTCCAGACTCAATTATTTACAGACCGCCACCATATAGCTGGAATATTGCTGAGTGCAGCATAAGACTAAACTCACTGATTCACTCAAAATCAACGCTAATTTATATACCCTGTCTGGACCTGACAATCCAATGATTCATTATTCTAACACTATTGTGGTACATGTATATCATATAATATGACACATGCTACCAACCAAGTCAGTGAGTATCACCACCAGATTTGGTCAAACTAGCACAGAAACTCCATGAGAAACAGGGCGTCAAGCTCATGTCTATGGACCAGATGAAGAAAGTGGACTGTTTATAAGACATACCTAGATCAGCTTCTTCAACTGGGTGTTCTCAAGAGAAATGTTGAGGTCTTCTGTGGATGAGCTGTTCCCTGAAGATGGCGGATCGTCCTGAGTAACGTCATCATCTACAGAAATCATACACTCAGTTTTATTCACATCTTGTTGTGACTGAGTATGCTGAAGCTTGTGATCGGAGACAAGCACATGGCTAGTATATTTGGGATGAACTGAAAGTCTGATGTCACTCAACACTGGTTAAAGTGAGTGAGTGAGTGAGTGAGTGAGTGTGAGTGAGTGAGTGAGTGAGTGGGAATCTTTATGCTTTATGCCGCTTTTAGTAATATCACAGTGGAGGAAACCAGAAATGGGCTTCACATATTGTACCCATGTGGGGAATCAAACCCAGATCTTCCACATGACAAGCAAACACTTCAACCGCTAGGCTAACCCACCGCCTGCTCTAGTTCTGTAACTGTGGAAACCACACCATGTAGTACAAGGATTCACCCACACCATCTGCTTGGTGGTCACATGGTGAGGGCAATAAGGTGAAGCCTGTCCCCAGGACCACACCATGTAGTACAAGGATTCACCCACACCATCTGCTTGGTGGTCACATGGTGAGGGCAATAAGGTGAAGCCTGTCCCCAGGACCACACCATGTAGTACAAGGATTCACCCACACCATCTGCTTGGTGGTCACATGGTGAGGAATTGCAAAAAGCCTGTAAATCGAATGTAGTGAAATTAAGATTGCTTGAATCTTCATAATTCTACCTTGCCAATTGAACATTTAAATCTTAGATTTTTATTCAACTTATGAAAAAGGTTGTTAACACACCATGAGTACATAGTTTCAAATGCCATCTGCTTATATCACATGGGTTTTGTATAACATGGTGGGGTAAGCCTGTCCCAGGACCACACCATGTAATGGGATTCACCCACACCATCTGCTTGGTGTCACATGGTGAGGGTTAATTTAGACCAACCCTACTTGATCACACCATGTTTCACAAGGATTCATCCACCCATCTGCTTGGTGGTCACAAACCAAGGACACACCGTCAAGCCTGAAACTATGATCATTTGTTAAACAACTTTCATCCCAAGTTGAATAAAATTCTGAGGTTTAAATTTTCAAATGGCAAGGTAAAGCCTATCCCAGGACCACACCATGTAGTACAAGGATTCACCCACACCATCAGCTTGGTGGTCACATGGTGAGGGCAATAAGGTGAAGCCTGTCCCTAGGACCACACCATGTAGTCTACCATTATGCATCACAGGGAGGCATGCTGAGTTGCTTCCCTTTGTCAAGGTAGGATTTGATGATCCTCTTTGGCACTCACTCATCCCAATTTCAAAATGCATCAAATAAGATATCATAATGTGACCAAGGATAAATTTTCTATCACATCCTTCAATTCTCTGGTGTCAACAGCATTTTATGTGTGCTTCAGTGAATCATACACCTTGCTATCACACATCATTGCTCTCCCTATGTTCTCCTAACTTGTCTGACAAAGACATAACTCCCCCATAACACTCTACACTGCATTAAGAAATTGGAATGGAATGTGAACCTTAACTGAAGAGAACGGCACCATGGTCACTGGGGCCATAGATATCTTGATCAAACCGTACATTATCGTTTTTCTTTCTCCCTTTTATTTAACACCACATGCAATATTCACACTGTATGACTGTTGTGTGTAAATAATCCGGCCAGGCAATCCAGTGATTAATATAATGAGAGTCAGTATACAAACCTGAGGTATGAGGACCTGTAGCAACCACAGATGCCATTTGTTGACTTTATCCGCTTACAACAATCATGAAATTACCATGAAGATAAAATATTTTAAATCAGATACAAATTTTTAAAATGGTTATTTGGCATAGATGACAGTGCATAGAGTCATGAGTGGTTCAGGGCTCCAAGGTTCTAAATAAGCCCATTGCCCGAAATTTTGCCAAAAGCCCCAAGTCCAGTGTTTTTTTCTGTCGGTGCAAGCAAATTTGTATATCACACTTATTTACGGTGTCCAGTTGACTTCATCAATGTTAATTATGTTCTTTATGTAAAAATCAACAACAGAAAACAGCTGGTATAGTGGAAAATTATCAGGGCAACAGTGATTTTACATGTGCCACTATGGTTCAATGAGTTTTGAGATGGTACACTAGCAATTTTAAAGGTTATTTCCGTCATGCCCCGGTTCGATTCCCCATGGGCACAATGTGTTAGTTTTGGAAACATGGTGAACTTTGCAAAAACAGCGTTAAACTAAACTCACTCACTCACTCACTGTACATAAGGTTTCACGAACATAACAAACAAGATAGTTGTATCAACTAGATCTTAGAAATGACTTACAAAATCACAATGCACTTCTTTCAGCTATTACCATAGTCTCATCTTATAATATTTAACAGATGTGTTTATAGCCTTCTTTGTGATAAATTATAATTTCAGTTAACTTCATCAACTTCACTGAACAGTTTGAAAAAGGGAACACATAGAAAGCAGAAAGTGATGATATGACAGTTTTCTCACCTTGCCTGGCTATATTCTCATCCTGCTGGTTGACAAGCTCCACACTGGGTGTGGGTGAAATGTGAGACTGTGCGGAGTTCTCTGCCAGTGATGGTACATCTGCTACATCCAGGTTAAGAGCTTGGATCTTTGTCTTCACACCAGATGTTGATTTCTTGCGAGGGATAGGAAGAGGCATTTGTCTACATGAATCTGAATCTGTCAGGTGCACCTCATCATTACCGTGGTCAGTGGTCACCTGGCTGACCTGTACATGATTGGCCATAGGTGATGGCGGAACTTTTGTACTTGGTTCACCTATAACAGTGGACAACATCGGCGTCGGCGGTATTATTGACATTGTCTGAGACTTCTCAGTGTCGGAGTTGGAGAAATTGGTCGTCTGTGACATGATACCATCTGTTTGTCTGTTTCCACAGCTGTCCCCTGCCGCATCAGTGCCTTCAATCATTTCAATATCTTCATGTATCACATCATCAAACCCTTCCACCAGCTGAGCACCATCTCCTTCCTGTCCGGCCATATTGGACACAGCATCCTGGGTACAAAATGCAAAATCATGTTCTTCAGCGTCACCGATCTTCTCCATGAGGCTGCTCATTTCTTGTTCAGGACTCTTCACATCAAAATGAACGTGTTTCGTTTTCCTGCCCTTCTTTGTAGTCCTGTCAACTTGAGTCTGTTCCAGTTCTACATCTCCTCGCACTTCAGCCACACTAGCCTCCGAGGTCAGGACATCAGCCAAACTTCCTTTGTTCCCTTTCTTATTACCTTTCCCTGCTTTTCTTCCTCTCTTCTTCTGAACTTTCTGTTTGGGTTGCAAAGTCTGACTGCTTTTAAACTCGTACGGATCTGACGATGACAGATGTGACTCTGTCATTTTCGCTCCTGCTGGCACGACCTCTGCCTCCTTTGTTGCTCTTGCCTTAAACATCCTCTTCCTGTTGGCTGCAGGTGCTTGTGTTGAATGCCTGGCTTCTTGAGTCCCCCCAACATGTTTAGAAACACTTAGTCTTGATCCACTAGCTGAGTCTCTCTCAGTAAGTTCGAAGCCAAAGTTTTCAAATTCACTGTCTACATTTGTCACCATTGGTTCAGAATCCCCTGTATTTTTTAACACAGTGTTACCATGGTTACTAGCCAGACAATCATTCTGGGAGAAGCCTCCTTTGTCTGTGGTATGCTGTGCCTCCTCTATCCACTGTTTTACCATACTGGACTTCTGATGCTGCCTGACGCTAGCCTTGCTGTACGTCTTCACGGGACCGACACCGAGGAAGTCCTTTGTCAAGTTGGGAATGTCCACACTGCTGACAGGGCTTTCATCGTGGAAGTCTGTCTCGTACTGAGGCCTCGGTGTTGAGTCCTCCATCTTTTTCCCTCTTCTGGTTCCACCTGCTGCCCGTCTGGTATAGATGCTGAGTTTAGACTTGGTTGGTTTTGTCCTTTTCTTAACTTCTTGAGACTGAAATAACAGTCCTCCATCACCGCTAATCTCCGACTCCACATCCTTCACCCTCATACTCACTTTCTGGTGTCAGTTGAAGAACACGTTCCATCCGGGAAATATATTTATCGGATGTTTGAGTTGAACCATCATTATCATTGAAACTTGTCAGTTTCTCTACTACACAAACAGGATTTAAATCATTATTTCCAACTCTGATGTTATTTCCTATAGATTTTGATTCAGTTTTGAAAGATTCATTTACATCAACATCCATCATTTCCATACAGGAGTTGTCTCCCTTTCTTTCAACTATGTTCCTATTTACTAGTGTCTGAGCACTGTCCACTGATTTTGTTTGACGATTAAAAGATTCATCGACATGAACACCTACTGCCCCATCACAAGAGTTATCCCCCTTTCTGTCATCGGCCCCCACTTCTCGCTGACCAATTGAAGTCTCATCCAAAGTGTCCCCAGCACCAGAGAAAACCTGGATGGACATGTCTGTACCAACGCTGTAACCACCTACAGCCATGTTCGTGTTGAGCCCACACGATCCTTCAACAAGGTACTTCAACAACGCTGCCTCTTGCTCTAAAACCGAGACTCGTCTCTCGTCTGATTCCTGTCTGTTTCCATCGGTCACACCCTCCTCTTCTCCATGCAGTGGCATGTTGTCTTGTCGAGATCGTCGCGTCTTCCTAACAGCAGTACAGCCTGTGTTTCGTGGCTGGGACACTGGTGGGTGTGGTCGAGTGTCAAGGCTTGCCGCAGTTTCTTCATGTGGTTCATGGCTGTAATTTAGAGAGCAAATTAACAAGACTGACACTGACAAAGGTCTCCAAGGAGAATGGAGACTAAGTGTCTGGTTTGAGTTCTGGTTTTGTTCCACTATCAATTTGACTCAAAAAACTATATGCACAAAAATATTGTCTAAACAAAAATTACCCCCCACCCACTTTGCAAGTTACGACCAATTTTTATGTCACAAAAGAGTGATAACCTAACATCAGCAAGAAGAGTGTTGTTTGTCTATGCAGCCATGGTTGCCATTCTGTTTAACAATATCTGGCCAATATGTGATGTTCTTTCATCAGAGATGCCAATCCTGAATCTAATGAAAGTTGAGCACGGATGTTGCGAGTTAGGGGTAACAGTAGCGCAAAAAATTTAGATTAGCATGTTTGGGTTTTTCTTTGGCGGTATGGTCTGCTCCACCATTTTATTTCACTTACATACAGGCTATGACATGTATTCAGAAAAACTTTGTGTAACTTTGTCTTCACTAACATGCTAAACATAATTGAGACCCCAAAGATCACACAGTGAGCTTCCGAATGCTTTTGCTGGTGTTGACTCAAATAAATCACCGATGACTTACGAAATTGTATACTGTAAAAAACTGAATTCAGAATTGTTTCACAAAAGTTTTTTCAAGCCAAATCGGAGGGCGCATTTTGTATTTGAAAATCGGAGTAACTCTGCTAAAATCGGAGTGGTTGGCATCTCTGTTTCTTATATGTACATAGTATTCATCCTTGTCTCACCTCCCTACAGGTGCCCCTTCTCCTGGACTGTCAACACGTTTCGTGGCCTGCTTCACATTTCTCCTGGTCTGACAACAAATGGAGTGACATAAAGAGAAGTACTGCTATTTATTGAAATGAATAGAGAGAGCTTATTAGGTGAGTGTTTCTGTAGTGTACATAGTTAAAACTTAGCGCTGAGCTTCTGGTTCAAAACATAAAACCTTGCATGCCTCAGGGCTTTTCCAAAGACCGAGATTTTAACATTCAGCTTAAACTGAGGAGTAGGTTAGCTAACTTTTGAGTGAGTGAGTGAGGTTGGTTTTATGCTGCTTTAGCAATATCATGGTGGGGACACCAGAAATGGGCTTCATACATTGTACCCATGTGGGGAATTAAAGCCAGGTCTTTGGCGTGACGAACAAATGCTTTAACCAAAGAGGCTAATAAACTTTCGAACCATCTGGGGAATTAAAGATGGAAGTGTACCAGAAAGAGAAATAAAACATCAGGATACCTAATCATGAAAACAGAGTAGTTGTGTTAAACCATGCATTGAGTCAGTGGGCAAGAGAAAGAGCTGAGGTGAGGTGAAATTGGGTTTAACGTCGTGCTTGAGAATATTTCGCTCATATGACGACGTGCATGCGTGTGTATGTGTATGTGCGGCTGTTTGTACTAGCCCAGACTGAAGCTGGTTTTATAGTGCTAGCTCACTGAGATACCATGCCACAGTGAAGCATGAATACCCCACTCAGACACATTATACTGACTCCAAGCCGACCAGTCCTTGTTGTACCCATTAATGCCGAGCGCCAGGCAGGGACCAACAAGTACCATATTTGAACGTCTTTTGGTATGACGCGATCGGGGATCGAACCAGCAACCTTCCGCTCTCCGGGCGGACGCTCTAACCACTACACCACGGAGACGGCCTGGCAAGAGAAAGACAACATGGTGCATGTAGACAACTGAAGTCATGATATGTACGTTCATCAAATGTCAGTTGGTGACAACAGTTGAGGTTGGTTCGATTTCTACCTAAGAGTGAGTGAGTGAGTTATTATTTAACGTCACATCGGCAATATTGCAGCCATATCGTGACGATTCTACCTAAGAGGATATAGGGAGATCAGTAGAGATATTTTAAAAATAAATTGTAGCATTTCATTTATTGTAATAATGAACTAAGTATTAAAACCTCTTCACCCATGTTAGTCCTGTCCCCAGGCAAATACCTGGGCGGTGGGGTAGCCTGATGTTAAAACCTTCCATTCGTCACGCTGAAGACCCTAATGGGCACAATGTGTGAAGCCCATTTTTGGTGTCCCCCACCGTGACATTGCTGGAATATTGCTAAACGTGGCGTAAGATCATACTCACTCACTCTCCAGTCAAATACCAGTCACCTCCTCAAAGCTATAACGTTGATTATTACCTCAACAAGGAGGACTTGGACATGTTGAACACTAAATTGGGGACAATTTACCCACATTTGTTGCAAGGCTGCAACGATTCTGTTCGAATCTGACACCATAGTTTCCATTTTCGATAACCATTATCACTATTTCGATTTGATGTTTGAATATCTATTTAGAATTATTTCCATACAATGAGAACGTAAGTTTGACTCCACATCGAGCAGATTCACAGAAATAAAGTGAAAGGTGATTGGTTGAAGCCGGGCTAATTATCCAATGAGAATTGTTAGTAGACATCGCCAAGTTGACGATGGATTTCACAGTAAAAAAGCCGACGTGGAGAGTTAAATGAAATCTGATGTTTTTACTTGTATGGTGAGTGAGTGAGTTGGGTTTTACACCGCTTTTAGCAATATTCCAGCAATATCACGGCGGGGGACACCAGAAATGAGCTTCACACATTGTGCCCATGTGGGGAATCGAACCCGGGTCTTTGGCGTGACAAGCGAATGCTTTAACCACTAGGCTACCCCACCGCCCCACTTGTATGAAGAATCAAATTGAAAATTATTGAATCAGGTGTCCCATATCGAATATCGAATAGAATCGAGGCCTGGGTGAATAATTGCAGCCCTAATTTGTTGCAGATTTGGGGTCGGATATCTGCAAATGATCACTGAAACTGACCATAGTTTCATGTTTTGTCCCCACCTGTCTTTTCCTTTCAGTTGTCTCCCTTGGGAAGATGGGCTCCGGTGTGCAGGGGAAGAACTCTGTACCCTGGAGACGTCGAGATGGACTGACTGGAGGGAGGGAAACAGATCATCTGACAACTGACCTGAACAAGGTGGGTCTGGATTTGGGGTGGGGATTGTAGGGGAACAAGACATCAACACACAGACTCAGTACAGGGGAAAACATGACTCACTGCAGATAGACGGACAAAATGAAAACATGATTCACTGCAGATAGACAGACAAATAAAAACATGACTCACTGCAGATAGACAGACAAAATGAAAACATGACTCACTGCAGATAGACGGACAAAATGAAAACATGATTCACTGCAGATAGACAGACAAAATGAAAACATGATTCACTGCAGATAGACGGACAAAATGAAAACATGATTCACTGCAGATAGACAGACAAAATGAAAACATGATTCACTGCAGATAGACAGACAAATAAAAACATGACTGCAGATAGACAGACAAAATGAAAACATGATCCACTGCAGATAAGAGACAAAATGAAAACATGATTCACTGTAGATAGACGGACAAAATGAAAACATGATTCACTGCAGATAGACAGACAAAATGAAAACATGATTCACTGCAGATAGACAGACAAATAAAAACATGACTGCAGATAGACAGACAAAATGAAAACATGATCCACTGCAGATAGACAGACAAAATGAAAACATGATTCACTGTAGATAGACGGACAAAATGAAAACATGATTCACTGCAGATAGACAGACAAAATGAAAACATGATTCACTGCAGATAGACAGACAAAATGAAAACATGACTCACTGCAGATAGACAGACAAAATGAAAACATGATTCACTGCAGATAGACAGACAAAATGAAAACATGATTCACTGTAGATAGACGGACAAAATGAAAACATGATTCACTGCAGATAGACAGACAAAATGAAAACATGATTCACTGTAGATAGATGGACAAAATGAAAACAACTCGCCGGTGATCACTCATCCAGGCACCTTGATGTCTGGTTTTGGAATTCAGGTTTGGAGAAGGATAGAAATCTCTGTAAATGTTTTCAATGGTTTCATTTTTGGTAATGATTAAATATACAGATTACCCATTTGCTAAAGAGGTATTTTACCATGACTTCAGTAAATACTGCATTGTGATTGGTTAAAGTCACTCAGAGGTATATAACCACGTTTTGTATGTATGTATCTTTTAAAAATCTTAATAACGTGGTTATGGTAAAATAGAGATAAACGTACTGTGTTGGAAACTCAGAGGTATATATAACGAAAGTATATATTGCTCTAAATTTTTACTTAAAACCTCATGAAAACCTCATGCTACGTGTTCGGTTACAATATAAATTAAAGCTATTATCATTTTGTTATATACCTCTGATTTTCCAACACAGCACGTTTATCTCCTAATTACATAAGAAATGCCATCTGTCCTTTCTGAAGTTTACGTGATTTGCGGATGTATGCATTGTTTGGAGACAACGAGCGTAGTA